AAAGGATCACATGGTGGCAAAGAAACACCTGGAGATCAACCTGATCCTTCCACTACTGAGACCTTAAGACAAAAGACAGAGGCTGAAAAGAACAAGTTTGTGAAGAATCTTGTCATCTTGATTCATGAAACTTCATTCTTGTCTTCTGGCTTCAGTCTTGAAGATCCCCAGATACATGCTAACAGGATTTACAGGATGATCAAATATGGTTTGACTGTTGATGAAGATAACCCACATTGCCAATGATACCAATGCTGCTGTAACTGAAGAAATGCAGCCTCTAGAAGGAGATGACCACACGTCATGCATGGAAGAAGTCTAATAGATTAAGCTCTGCCTGAAGAATGATTTATATATGTATTCGATACTTTCTCTTCATTCCCTCTGATAATGTATATTTTTCAAGAATTAAAAATTACTTTGTTAACATTTTAAACATCTGTATAGCATGATGATAACTACTTAAGGGGAAGATAAGATTTCTTTCTACTTCTAATTGTAATAACTTGGCCACTAAAGCAGAGCTAGCAATGCTTTTCTAGTTTCCCATTAGCTTATTTTAACAGATCAAGGTAATTTTTTTGTTGTAAGATGTATGTGATCTAATATTAACTTTGTGGTCTAAAGTGTTAAGCTATCAAGCCAGGTTTCTTAGTAGATCAAAACTTTTGTTAGTGTTCTTAGATATACCTTGATGTTTAAAAGAAGATTTGTAAAGTGCTTTGAGTTTCATCTCCTAGGATCTACTTTTAAATTTTCCATTTCCTGTAGTTATCAATTTTGTATGTACTATTCTTTTAAAAATATATTAAAAAGAGCCAACTTGGAGGAGGAACTCTCCATTGGGGTTTGTTTTCCAAAGAAAAGTATGTTTTAGAGGAAAAATACTGTAAGCCTCCTTGGGCATTTTATAAAGCCATTTGGAAAGTACTTCAGCCAGGCTTGTGAATAGAAATATGCTCATGTCACATTCTGCTTAAAGGGGTAGTAACAGATACAGGTAAATTTAAAAAAGAAAAAGCTTATCTCAACACAAGAAACAAGATTTTAAAAATATCTTTAGAGTTTTTGTATATTCATTTTTTATTTTTAAGTAGTCGAATACAGATACAACAAATATCACATCAAAGTTGTGACTTAAAATTATATGTTATCTGAAAGCCGTAATTACAAAGATCATTGACCAACATGAAAACAAGAGGCACTATAAAGTCACATTAAAATTTAATACATATACACATATGCATACTCATAAATGTGTCATCACATATTTCCAAAGACCTGAAAGCATATACTAACTTCTTAGCTTAAATGACTCATTTTGACAATTCTACAGAAAATGTCACAGGCTGATATGAGGCTACAAATAAGTTCCCCAGTCTTAGTACTCCCAGGTATGGGTGTAGAAAATCTGTAAGAAATAATTTGCTACTAACATGGACAGAAAGCTAGTCCAGAGCTGTCAGATCAACAGACTGGAATGTGTATAAAGACTGTCATTTTGAACTGTGTTTCTATGGGAGCTAGATGAGGTATAGAATTTCCAACGGGGTTTTGTTCTGGCCATCACTTTAAAAAGAAAATGTGTCTGACTTTGGCACACTTTTTTGAAATATATTTGTAGGAACAGACTTCATACCTTCGACTGCAGTAAAAGGCACTATAAACATTTATGGAACACCTGCTCTGTGTAAGGTACCACAGAGCCACTCCCTTGCAGAGTATATATATATACACACATATACATATATATATACACACATACAATAAATAAAAGAAAGCATGTATGCATATGCACATCTGCACATGAGAGAGAAAGGGAGAGAAAAGAACACTGTGACCCCCCCCCACACACACACACACACACACACACTTCCTCTAGCCTAGCCTATTGTGATCCTGGGCATGTGCTTATATGTACCTGGCACATTTCAGATCAACTGGGCTGGAAATCTGAACTGTGGTCAGCTACATCAGCAGGCTGGGCCAGAGATTATATTATAGTTGGAGGAAAATGGTAAGCAAAGAAAGAGGTAAAAGACAAGTTCAACAGACCAGGTGCTCAATAAGAGAGAAGTAAGAGCTGGGCAGGTCAGAGAAGGTTTCTAAAAGTAAGTGGTGGGGCCAGAAAGTGGCATAGTGGTTAAAATGCTAGACTCTTACATGGCAAATTGAGGTTCAAGTCCTGGACCTGGTGGCTTGCTTTCTTACTTTCCCTCTCTCTCTCTCTCTGACTACTTTCTCTTCATTCCCTCTGATAATGTATATTTTTCAAGAATTAAAAATTACTTTGTTAACATTTTAAACATCTGTATAGCATGATGATAACTACTTAAGGGGAAGATAAGATTTCTTTCTACTTCTAATTGTAATAACTTGGCCACTAAAGCAGAGCTAGCAATGCTTTTCTAGTTTCCCATTAGCTTATTTTAACAGATCAAGGTAATTTTTTTGTTGTAAGATGTATGTGATCTAATATTAACTTTGTGGTCTAAAGTGTTAAGCTATCAAGCCAGGTTTCTTAGTAGATCAAAACTTTTGTTAGTGTTCTTAGATATACCTTGATGTTTAAAAGAAGATTTGTAAAGTGCTTTGAGTTTCATCTCCTAGGATCTACTTTTAAATTTTCCATTTCCTGTAGTTATCAATTTTGTATGTACTATTCTTTTAAAAATATATTAAAAAGAGCCAACTTGGAGGAGGAACTCTCCATTGGGGTTTGTTTTCCAAAGAAAAGTATGTTTTAGAGGAAAAATACTGTAAGCCTCCTTGGGCATTTTATAAAGCCATTTGGAAAGTACTTCAGCCAGGCTTGTGAATAGAAATATGCTCATGTCACATTCTGCTTAAAGGGGTAGTAACAGATACAGGTAAATTTAAAAAAGAAAAAGCTTATCTCAACACAAGAAACAAGATTTTAAAAATATCTTTAGAGTTTTTGTATATTCATTTTTTATTTTTAAGTAGTCGAATACAGATACAACAAATATCACATCAAAGTTGTGACTTAAAATTATATGTTATCTGAAAGCCGTAATTACAAAGATCATTGACCAACATGAAAACAAGAGGCACTATAAAGTCACATTAAAATTTAATACATATACACATATGCATACTCATAAATGTGTCATCACATATTTCCAAAGACCTGAAAGCATATACTAACTTCTTAGCTTAAATGACTCATTTTGACAATTCTACAGAAAATGTCACAGGCTGATATGAGGCTACAAATAAGTTCCCCAGTCTTAGTACTCCCAGGTATGGGTGTAGAAAATCTGTAAGAAATAATTTGCTACTAACATGGACAGAAAGCTAGTCCAGAGCTGTCAGATCAACAGACTGGAATGTGTATAAAGACTGTCATTTTGAACTGTGTTTCTATGGGAGCTAGATGAGGTATAGAATTTCCAACGGGGTTTTGTTCTGGCCATCACTTTAAAAAGAAAATGTGTCTGACTTTGGCACACTTTTTTGAAATATATTTGTAGGAACAGACTTCATACCTTCGACTGCAGTAAAAGGCACTATAAACATTTATGGAACACCTGCTCTGTGTAAGGTACCACAGAGCCACTCCCTTGCAGAGTATATATATATACACACATATACATATATATATACACACATACAATAAATAAAAGAAAGCATGTATGCATATGCACATCTGCACATGAGAGAGAAAGGGAGAGAAAAGAACACTGTGACCCCCCCCCACACACACACACACACACACACACTTCCTCTAGCCTAGCCTATTGTGATCCTGGGCATGTGCTTATATGTACCTGGCACATTTCAGATCAACTGGGCTGGAAATCTGAACTGTGGTCAGCTACATCAGCAGGCTGGGCCAGAGATTATATTATAGTTGGAGGAAAATGGTAAGCAAAGAAAGAGGTAAAAGACAAGTTCAACAGACCAGGTGCTCAATAAGAGAGAAGTAAGAGCTGGGCAGGTCAGAGAAGGTTTCTAAAAGTAAGTGGTGGGGCCAGAAAGTGGCATAGTGGTTAAAATGCTAGACTCTTACATGGCAAATTGAGGTTCAAGTCCTGGACCTGGTGGCTTGCTTTCTTACTTTCCCTCTCTCTCTCTCTCTGACTGACTCTGGTCAAATTATCAGTCCATCAATCAATCTTAAAAAAAAAAAAATCAGTGGCATTGGGCTGAGCTTTGAAGAAAGGGTTTCCTGCTTATTCATTCATTCATTTACCAAATTTCCTGAACAAATAATACCTGTATGCTAGCTTCTATGCTCAGCATCATGAATATCATTGTGAATAAAACTGAAAGGGTCATGACTTATGGCAACTCATAACCCAGGTAAGTAAACCACAGCATGTATTGGGTTGTCGGGTAGGTCATGGCATATTTTCTTTCACATCGAAAAACATAGAAAAATACATCATGACTTTCCCAACAACCTAATATAACACTGTGATATATGCTATGCTAATAGTAATCCCAGAAGAAAGGCATCTTTTCTAGATAGGGAACAGTGATATGAAGGAAAACTTTCTGGAATAAATGAGATCTAAATTGGTATTTTGAAAAATAGGGGCTAACCAAGCAAATAGTAGTAAAAGAGTGTTCCAAGTAGGGGGAATGGCATCTTGTGAAGGACGCAGCAAAGAGAGAACATTGCATTCATGTAGAACGAAGGGAGTGTGGATAAAGGAGCAGAGAGAGAAACAGACTGGGTGTGTACCAGGGCTAATATGGTCACCAGTCAGGTTAGTGCTAAAAGACAGGTCTGGCAATTTAGGAGGTGGAGTCTGTATTCTATCCTTGGAGCAACAGGCACTTACTGAAAGTTACTGAGACAGGAGAGGGTCACGTAAGCAAAGTTCTGGTTTAGGAATGAATCTGTGAATGTGAATGGAGTGGCAGAAAGCAGGATTTCTCAGAGCAGGCTCTAGTCAAGGTTCAACAAATTCTTTGATCTAACTATATTTCCCCGCTTTGTGATTATTTCTTCTCTTTTCCCCTATGCATAGTATTTCCCAGTAGGATAAAAAATTCTATGAAACCGGAACCGACTACACTCCTGTTGGGTAAATACGAAGTTTCCATCTACGACCTAAATGGAGACCTGAAGGGCCAAGAAGCATGGCCAAACTACTATGCACTGGCACATGGACTTGTTTTTGTCCTGGATTCCAGCGACTTAGGACGCATGCAGGAAGTGAAGATCATCTTACCACATCTGATGTCTGATAGAAGGCTGGCAGGGAAACCCATCTTACTGTAAGATTCTGCTTTTGTGCCCTATTTCCCCTTCCCAATTTGTACTTTAAGAGAAGTATAGAGAGGTGGGTGGTCCCTTTGTCATACCCGGAGGGACCCCCTTTTCTCTGAGGCTCAATGAGGTAGAGTGGCCCAGTCTTCTGGGGGCTATTTCCAAGGGCCGCTTTCTATCAGACAGGACCAGGGAGAACATGTTACCGAACTGTATAAAGGTGATTTTGAAGGTGAGCATCAAAGGGAAATGGAAACTGATTATCTGGATCTACCACCTCCATCTCTTAACTCTTGCTGATGACTGCCTTCCTGAATTCACTTCTCATCTTTTCTAGTTTGTCTCTGATCCTGAGACCTCATAGTGGCAGAGAAAACCTATTCTGTGTAATTGATGCCAGTGGCCTCCTCCTTTACCTGACTGCTTAAGAGTTATGCAACTAGAATTTGTTCCAGCATGGTAATTCAGGTGGCCAGCCAATCCTCACTCCACTCTCACAACTCTCTTTTTGCCTTTTTCATTCCTCATTAGCAACCTCAACTATAGCATGAATGGAGTTTGGGAGAGGATATAAAAACTCTAAATCTGTTCATATTGTAGTTAGCAAGTCTAATTAAAGTTTGAGGACATGAGAGAGCCCTAGGGACTATCTTGGATCCAAATTATTTGTGCTATTCTTTCTTCCATGGAGAGTTTGCTAGAAAAATATCTGGCTCAACCCATTAGGTATGTCTTTAAACCTAATTCCTGGATATGTAGCAGTTGTAACAGAATTGGCCCTCTTCCTCTTTTCCTTCTTTTCTTGCCCTTTGCCTCTATTTGGGTTTCACACTTTCCTTTTCTCATGTTCCTTCTTCTAGCCTGGCAAACAAACAAGACAAGAAGGATGCCCTCTCACCTTGTGATATTATAGAATATCTATTCCTCAAAAGGCTAGTGAATGAGAATAATTCCCTGTGCCGCGTGGTCAGTATCAATACCTCCCTTCTCTCTGCTCTAGGGCCCACCTGATACAGTCCTTGGCCCATTCTATACTCAACCCCATACGTTGGTTTGGAGGTAACGTCTCTCCCTGACAGGCAACATCTATACTGATAATTTATGACACAATGGTAATAACAAATATCATGTTCTGTTTTCTAAATAGCTCTACAAAGTTGGAAGCTTGTCTTTTTTTAAAGAATTATTTATTATATTTATTATTATTTTAAAATAAAACATGTACGCACCAGAGAGAGACAGTAAGAGAGAGAGAAAGTGAGAAGCAAGCTACCAGGTCCAAGACTCAAACTGCAGTCAACCATGTGGGTGGGGGTCCAGCACCACCTGCTGGCCCCAAGTTGGGAGTCTTTTTGTTGGTTTGAGAGAGATTTTTTGCTATAGGGCACATAAGGTTGTGGAAAGACAGAGAGAAGCAGAGACAGAAAGCAAGAAATCATTCCCCAGGGGAGATGGCCACACTGCAGTCTCTTATCCTCCATTTTCCTCTCAGAATTTTGGGCATGCATGTACACATGCCCAGCATGAGTGTCAAGTCACAGGGTCTGGGACTCAAACTGTGGTCTGTCGTGTGAGTCCAGCATCTTAACCACGCTGCTACCTTCTGGCCCCCAAGTTTGAAGTTTTAATGTCCCCATTTTATGGATAAGAAAGTTAAGGCTCAGAGACTCAAGGTCACACATCTAAGGCACCACAACCATTACTGAAGGACCTCAGCTTTTGTGTCTTTCATTTACCACCTCAGATGTGAATGCTGAGTGTCTCCTAAGACATCTTAGAGCTTCTCTAGCCCACAGCAGAGCTTATATGTACTTCTGCTATTTGGAGGAGTGTGACTGGGTCTGTGGGTACTAGAGGTCCTAGATTCCAGGTCTGAAGACTTTTCTGTTTGTCACAGGAACCATGTTCAGCCATCAAAAATCTCCGAAGGAAGAACCATCAGTCAATAACTGAAGGGCTGCGCTGGCTGGTAGCTGTCATTGGGGATAAATATGATGAGCTGTATATTCGCCAACAACCACCCACCACTGGCATTTCAACCTCCAGGAGCATAAGAGGGTCTGGGGAAAGATCCTCATCAGACAGGTACTGAGCTGCCTTTGTTAGATTTACTGGTAAGAACAAAAACAGGAGTCAACCTTAAATATGAGCAAGGAGTTCTAAGAGGTACCTGGATTCTGAGCATCACAAGTCTCTCAAGATCAGTTGGCACAAACGGAGTCAGGGCAGCAACCACCAACACTCCAGTGTTGTTAGGTACACCCCACCCCTGGCACAACTTGAGTATAGGATGAGTTGTAAAAAGGTAAAGTCACCCTATTGGCATTAGAGGTTCTCCAAAACAGGGTTTTTATTGTTTGATTTGCCATGTGAAAAAGAAAAGGAACATGAGCCCCTTCAAGTGCCTATTGGCATTATTCTACAGATACATGTCATGAAGCTGCTCCCTATTCTCAGCTTCCAGTTCTCTGATCCTTCCAATATTCTCAAATGAGATGAGGATAAAAATGCTGAAAAAAGAGAGAAAGAGAGAAAAGGAAACCAAGAGGTGGTCAAAGTTTTGAGTAGTAAAGTGCCTAAATGTCTTTTGTACTATTATTACTTTCATTGCCCAAAGGCTTATGGCAGAAATGGGGTAGTAGCTGCATTAGAGAGAAAAGCTTGATGTGTATCTTTTTCTATTACTGCTTTGTCCTTTCCATCTTCCCCAGCTCTTCTGCTAGAACAAAAATGTCCAAAGAGAGAAGACAACATCTATATCTTGGCCAACGCCCAATGGAAGCCAGACCCCTAAAGTCTATCCTACATGTAATGCCTCTTTGAATGTTATTGCCCCATCAATCCCTGAACTCTTGTGCACCAACTGACTTTTTCTACCCCTCTCCCTCTTTTAATTTTTTTGCTGTACAGAAAGAAGGTTTACGATTAAGGCCTAAAAAGAATATATCAGTAACCTTTGCTCTAGATGAACCCATGGAGGAAGGTGAATGTTCTGGAGTAAAGAGAAACTGGAACACTGCTCAGAACCGACGGCGGAACATCGAGCTTCGCTACAATCGAAGTAATGCATTACCAATTCCAGCTCAACATGTTGATGACAACTTTTTTAAAGGTAACATTAAAAAAAAAAAAAAAAAGGTAACATTAGACCACAGGTTACAGAAGAAAAGAGACAGGCCTTGCCTCATAATTTGTACCACAGTATTTCTACTGTGAGCATCAAATTCTTTTTGCCCATTATGGCTGGTGGTTATAAGAGAACTGGAAAAGTACAAGGGGGGAAGTTGGGTATCACTTTCTGGTAGGTCAGTATAAGTATAATACCCCAACATTAGTTAGCAAAAGATATTTGGATAGCTATAGGATTATCATTTTCTTTAAGTTTATTCATTTATTTCATCTGTGAGAAAGACAGACAGACACCCCACCAGGATCTTCATGCCACAATCCACCCCCAGCCTCAACCTTCCTGGATCAAGGAAGGACACGAACACACACCTGGAGTGCACACCAAGGCCTCAAGATGAAAACCAAGGACCTTGCTATGTGGGCCCAGTTGTATTACCGATGTACCACTGTCTAGCCCCTACAGGATTATCTTTTGGGTTTTAAAATTTTGTTTAATTACCAGAGGGTGCATGTGCTTGCCAGAGAGAGAGAGAGAGAGAGAGAGAAAGCACTTCTCAATGGTGTGTGGTCATGCCACAATTCTTTTTCCCCCATTGCTCCATTCTGTCAGGATTTTAGGCAAATGCACACATGCATTCAGTATGTTTTTCAAACCATGATGGCTAGGATTCGAACCTCACTTGGTCATGTGGGATCTGGATCCCAAATGCAGAGCACTTAATCATTACTGAACCCACCCCTAAGATAAACCAATGGTGGAATTATGAATTGGTACAACCTTTCTGGAAGGTAATTTGGCTGTTTGTCTCCCCTCTTCCCTCTCAAAAAAAAAGAAAAAGGGATGGATACACACACACACACACACACACACACACACACACACACACACGACAACTTCAAGAAGTTCATGGGAAATTATAATTAAAGGAACAGTTTATTTTGAGGCAAAAAGCACACCCTATAGAAAAAAAACAATGGAGGCTGGAGGATTATGGCATAGAGTCCATCTTTCTCTGTATAATTTTTTCATAATGGACATTTTTCATGAATTTTTGAAGACCCTTGCATATGAGACTTTACCTTTATAGTATTCGCTCTACTAACATGATCATTCAAATAACATGACCCACTCATATACAAGGGGTCATCAATAAGTTCATGGAAAATGTCAATTTTGAAAAATTATGCATGAATTTCAAAGTCTTTGTACCAAGAGAACTCAGATTTCATTTCCATTTATTCAAGAACTTTTTGAAGGGCCCTATAATTATATATCAGGAACATTAAAAATGTGGAAATCCACTAAAAAAAAACTCATCTTATGAGCTGTATGGAAAAATAATTACACTGCTCACAATGTCCAATCACAGCATAATGTACAAAAACTAAATCTGGAAACAACCTATATATCTAACAATGGGGAAAAGCTAAACAAATTAAGATGCTGCCACACAATGGAATACTATGCAGATATTAAAAAGATTAACACTGACTTACATTTAAATCTAGAAAATTTTCCACACCTTGAGATTCTGTTAGGGAAGATAGCAAATTAGAGTGCCACATGTATAACAGGGTGTGTATACATGCATAGAGATATCTAGAGGGATATCAGCAAAATATGAGTGGTGGTTTCCTCTGGAGATGACGTATTTGGTGATGTTGAGAAGTGTAAGGCCTAGGAACTTTTCTTTGGAGTTTCATCCCATTGGAAATTTTCTTTTTTATAGTAAACATATTATTTCTCCTGATAAAAGTATTATTATTTTTTTAGAGATTTTTGCTATAGGGCACGTGCATTTGCCAAAGACACACAGAGAGAGACAGACAGAAAGTGAGAAATCACCCCCCAGGAGGGATGGCCATGCAGCAATCCTTCCTCCTCCATTTACCTCTTGAGTTTTGGACACATACACACATACCCAGCCTGAGTTCCAAGCCACCAGGTCCCCAGTAAAGGTATTTTAAAAGGTGCTGAGGGCTTGAAAGCTCATTGTTGCTAATATCTACTCCTTTTCAGTGTTCTTTGGGGCCCCAGTCTCCAAGGATGTCAACTGTCAATATTTTTAAAGAACTGTTTATTTAATTCCATTTGTTATTATTTTTTATTTTTTGAGAGAGAGATTTTTGCTGTAGGTTGTGCGTGCTCACCAGAGAGACAAAGAGAGAGACATACAATGAGAGATCACTCCCCAGGGGGATTGGCCATGCCACAATCCCTTCTCCTCCATTCTCCTCTCGGGATCTTGGGCACGCACGCACACATGCCCAGCATGAGTTTTAAGCCACCGGGTCCGGGACGCGAACCGCGGTCGACTACGTGTGAGTCCAGCAACATAGCCATTACGCTAACTGCTGGTTCCCAACTGTCAATATTTTTAAAGAACTGTTTATTTAATTCCATTTGTTATTATTTTTTATTTTTTGAGAGAGAGATTTTTGCTGTAGGTTGTGCGTGCTCACCAGAGAGACAAAGAGAGAGACATACAATGAGAGATCACTCCCCAGGGGGATTGGCCATGCCACAATCCCTTCTCCTCCATTCTCCTCTTGAGATTTGGGGCATGCACCCACACATGCCCAGCATTTTAAGCTGCCAGGTCTAGGACTCGACTACATGGAGTCCATTGACATAACCATTATGCCATCTGCTGGTCCTTGTTATTTTTTAATTTGACCACAGAGAGAGAGAGAGAGAGAGAGAGAGAGAGAGAGAGAGAGCAAGCTGCCAGGTCCAGGACTTGAACCAGCACCTTAAACACCATGCCACCTGCCGGCCCCTTAATTTTCAGTATTATGTCACCTCAACCCTGACAGGGATCTAATCTTCAGACTACCCTGAAGCCTTGGGCTGTTGTCCCTACATGGAGGGTCCTGGTCTTGGCCAGAGCCACTAAGAAGTAGTTCATAATGGCTCTGAGGATAAAGGGGAAAGTTGGCAGTTGAGTAGAAGCAATATGATAGAAGAGAAGAGGAAGTGGTTTTCTAGATGTCAGCAACTACTCCTACATCTTTGGCCAAAATTGAAACTCATTTTCATTTCTATAATCTCAGAACCAAGGGCAAAAAGGAGAACAAGTATCTGGGACATAGAGATGTTACCGGAAAATCCCCGTGAAGAAGCCTTTGGATCCTATGGTCAGTACTCCTTAAATGAAGGGCAGAGAATGAGAGAAAGCAGAAACCTAGGGCAGGGGTGGGCACTTCACAGGGTGCAATCTATATGCCCTTGGGAACTGACAGATGCTTTCCTACCCTGAAGTGGTCTAGCAGGGGAAGGAAACCTGGCATCTGGCTTTACTCTCACTGATTGGGTATTTTCTTTCTTGTATTGGACTTTTAACAGACTATTAAAGAGAAACATCAAACATCCAACTCTCAGCACATGAGACCATCCATAGACCCATCAGGACCACCCAGCTTTTAAGTTTTTATGATACCTCTACGGTCCTCCCTACAATTCCATCTATTCTAACTTCACATCTCTGAGAACCCCCACTGGCTCGTAATCTGAATCATAGCCATCAAGTTAATCCTCTATCTACTGAAAGGCTCAAGAAGTTAGGTGACATCCACTGGAGAATAAAGACCACCTTGGCAAAGAACAAAGACATCTCTGTACTGAATACATCTTTCTCTACAGATGCTCCTGATCAAGCTTTTGGACAGTACGTTGTGGATGACCAACTAAAACTGAGCCTTAGAAATACAGGGTTAGTTTAGAACCACATATTTCTTAAGGTTCTTGGGTGGGAAGGGACTGGCAAAAAATAAATACAACCGTGCTGAGCATTATTTTCTACTGAATCATTTTCTTATCCTTCCAAAAACAACTCAGGTTTTTTGGGTTTCTTCTTATTCCTTTTTATTTATTTTTTTTAAAGTTTTGCTATAGGGAACGTGCACTTGCCAGGAGAGAGAGAGAAAGACAGAGAGAATGAGAAATCATGCTCCAGTGGGGATGGCCATGCCACAATCCCTTCTCTCAGGATCTTGGGCACACATGCACACACGACCTGTGTGATCTTCGAGCCACTGGGTGTAGGAATCAAGCCATGAAGTGGTCATGTAGAATCCAACGCCTTAACCTCTACACCACCTGCTAGCCCTTACCTCCCCATTTCTTTTTACTTTTGAGAGCAAGACTTTTGATATAGGGCATCTGCTCTCACCGAACCGAGACAGAAAGAGAGAAATAACCCCTCCAGGGGGGATGGCCACACTGCAGTCCCTTCTCCTCCATTCTCTTCTTTGGATTTTGGGCACACATGCACACACACCCGGTATGAGTTTCAAGCTGCCAGGTACGGAACTCAAACCATGGTTGAACACATGGGAGTCCAGCACCTTAACCACTACACCACCTGCTAGCCCCTTACTCCCCTCTTTTTAATTGCCAGAAGATGCATGCACTCACCAGGGAGGGAGAAACATCAGGAGAAATCCATTCTTTCTCCATTTCTCCATCTTGTTAGGTTTTGAGCACACACACGCATGTGCACACATGCACACACACATGCCTAGCATGTTTTTCAAGCTGCCAGCGCTGGAATTTGAACTGCAGTTGGCCTTGTAGAATCAGTTCCCTTAACTAGTGGCTATGGGCCCGACCCCACATCCATTATCTTAGAACCATCCTTGGGGATAGGCACTATACCTGACTGTATTTTACAGATGAGGAATCTAAAGGACAGAGAAGTAAAAAGGATTTGCCCAAGATCTTACAGTCTGTAAAAAGCAGCAGAGAGTTTAATTCAGATCTGGCTCTAAAGCTAGTTACCTTAGGCCAGAAAGATCTGCTCATGCTTTTGTCAACCCCACCCAGAAAGAGAAAGCTACATCCAGGAAAAAATGCTGAAGCACAACTATATTCATGTCAAAATTTTGTCATCATCAATAAGCACACCAGCAGTGGCAAAAGACATGGTTAAATGAGCTCTTCCATTTTTTCCAAGTTCTGGGCCAAGTGCTTTAATTTTAAAAACCTCTTTAAAAGTTTACTTCTTTTGTGATTGAGAGACAGGTATCCTCAATAGGGTCCCATGCAGCAATCCCTGCCCCTCCTACCTCAGCCTTCCCAGCCAGCCAGGATTGGAGAACTGAATCCATGATTTCCCATATGGATCCAAAATCACTGAGCAACACATTAATGATGCCTTACCAAGCAGGCCCAAAGTGACTTACATATCTTACTGTCTTTCATCCTTACAAAGCTATTTAGTTGGCTCTCTTATCACCATCTTACAGAGGCAGAAACTGATGTTGAGAAGTTAAATAATTTGTCTCAGGGCACCCACTAGGAGGTGGTAGGACTGATTTTCAAGCTAAGGTCCAAGTCCACCCACATTCTTAGTGCTATACTCTACCATCTCATCAAGCAGTATAAACCAAACCACCCATAATTGTTGCTGAGAGATAGAAACTCTACAGGAAGAACCGTCTTACAACCCCATCTGGAAGATCCAACACTGTCCAAGTCTGCATCAGTTACTCTTGAATCCCCACGGGAAACTTCTGAGCACCTTATGGGTCTTCAGCAG